TTTTTTTTTTTTTTTTGTCACAGTCTTCCCCCTGTATTTCATGAGATGAGAAATATGTGAAGTGACCCCCAAAAAAGAGAGATTTTATGACATGCTACCCCCACACATGGCACACACTCCCACACACTCTGGCACAGAGAAAACAACAGAAGCAGGAAAGTCCTCTGCCCTTTTCTGCATTCTCCCTTGACCTCCCTCTGAAGGGCCTTATGGCTTGTGTTTAGATGTCTTCCCAAAGCCACATGCGGATGAGGTGGGACTTTCTTTTTCAGAGTAGTTGAATCTGGAAGGTGTGATGAGGGGTTAAGGGCGTGTGGTTACTAAACCACTACATGTGAGTGAGTGGTTTGGCACCGCCTTAATCCCAGTAGTCTAAATAAAATAGAGGGGGCAGAAAGATGTTGTTAAACCCTCTTGGTGCCTTTGCTGCCTGTGTGCACAGTGTTGTTTCTCCTCTGTGATGCTTGTTTGCCATCCCAGCCTTGGAGCAGCTGATTATGGACTGAATCTCTATGAGCTGTGAGCCAAACGAACCCCTCCCCGTCTAACTTTGGGTGTCAGTATTTTGTCTCAGCAACAAGAAAAAGGTAACTGACAAGGGGTTATGACTCGTTCCCGATGGGGGGATGCACACACAGTGAAGAGTCCAAAGGGGAATGCTTGCTGGGTTCCCCCAGTTTATTGCTATTGGATCAAACCTTTTTGTCTTCCAATCACAGTTCTCCATAAAAATATAGGTTTCTTTGGACCTTCGTTTCTGAAGGCTCTCATGTCATGTAAAACTAATATCAAACAAATTTATGTCTTCTCTTGCTCATCTGTCTTTTGTTATAGGAATCAGCCATGAATCTTGCTATGGATGGGAAAACATATCATTTTTCTTCCCTACAAAGATAAACAGAGCATCTTGGACTACTTCTTTAAGTCACGTGGATTAGATTTCAAAATTATCACTTTATCTTAATATAAAATGAATGTGTATGCAGAAACTGACAGGTTAATTTTGAAATTCATATAGTAGTGCAAAGCACTCTGAATAGCCAACACAATCTTGGGAAAAAGGAAAAGTCAGAAGACATACTTCTCAATTTCAAAATCTATCACAGCTACAGTAATGAAGGCTCTGTGGTACCGTCATAAGCATGGACCTCTGGACTGTAGTGGTCAGTTTTATATGTTAGCTGGTTAGGCTACTGATTGCTGTTATTCAAAACTAATCTAGGTGCTCCTGTGAAGTTGTTTTGTAAATAAAACTAAAGTTTGCAATCAATTGGCTTTAAGTAAAGAAGATTATCCTAAATAATCTCAGTGGGCCCCAAGTCAATTAGTTGAAAGCCCGTAAGAGGAGAACTGAGTCTGCTCTAAACAGAGAGAAATTCTACCTGTGGACTAACACTTCAGCTCCTGTCTGGGCATTTCAACCTTCCCTTCCTAACATTTTAGACTCACTATAATTGTATAAGCTATCCTTGGAATGAATATCTCTGTGTGTGTGTGTGAGTGCGTGTGTGTGCGTGCGTGCGTGTGTGTGTGTGTGTGTGTGTGTGTGTGTTAGGGAGAGAGAGGGAGAGAAAGGGAAAGGGGGGGGTTCCCTATTCATTCCATTTCTTTGACTGATACTTAGATCAACAGAACAGAATTGAGAGTAGAGTCCAAGAGCCAACCCTTACATTCTAGCATTTATAGTGAATTGATTTCCAACAAGGGTGCTAAGTAATTCAATGGAGAAAGAATAGTCTTTTAAATAAATGGTGCCAGGACAACTGGATGTCTAAAAGAATGAAGTGTATCCATCCTTCATACCAAATATAAAAATTGGTGTCAAAATGGATCAAAGACAAATACAAGGACAGGTTAACCCCAAGTGAAGCACTTTAGCACTTGAGCGAGCAGTGGAAGTGCTTCAGTGAAAACACAGGTTTTAGTTTTTCTGACCTTAGATCAGGCAACGGTTGCTTAGACACAACACTAAGTACAAAAGCAAGATGCCTGTACTTCATCAAAATAAAAACAATTAAATTAAACCATCAAGAAAGTGAGAAAACATAAACTTCATAATGGAAAAAGTCTTTGTAAATCATACATCTCATTCAGGTCTAATGATCAGGACATGTAAGGAATATTTATAACTTAATAAACATGAACAACTCAATTTTAAAGAAATTAAATCTTTCCCAAAATATATTCAAAGAGGACTTCCAGGGAAATGGTTGAGTAGTAAGCAGCAACAAATCAACCTCTCTAAGACTGAGAATCCAGCTGTGAAAATGACAGCTGGGGAAGAAAAGAAGGAGAGGGACTGATCCTCAGGACACAGGCAGTATCTGAAGGAAAAAAATTAAGTCCACAAAGAAAATGAAGTTGCAGACCTCAAAACAGAAAAAGGAAGGGGCAATCTTCACCTTCTCCCCATCTCCTGGCTCATGGCCTGAGAAAGGAAGATTGAATCTACAGAGACACAATGAAAGTGGGTGACTCCAGACGCCTCTAGGGAGAAACAAACCAGTGGAACAGAGCAGTGGATGCTGTGTGCTACAACAGTTAGTGAGTGACTCTACTCTAAGATACTGCAGTGCCCCCTGGAGACAGTGCTTGATGAGATTCCATTTCAGGGAGGGGCCAACTGAACCTGGGACTCACAGCAGCTGAACCTCAGACAGAGCAGCCATAATTTGGCTTCATCTCAGAGTTCAGGATCACCATGAACTTCTGTGGATTTGAAAGTACCAGAACCACCATCCTGCCCTAATCCTACTGCAGGCCTTCAGGGATTATCCAGCTAGGATTTGGGCTCTTTGTCTACAGTGAGATTTGCCTCCTTTGTTTACAGCGAGAGCAGAGTCACACCCTAAATTGGATATGACCACAAAACTGTAGACCCCAGAAGATAACCACAGGCTTGAAATCATAAAAAAATTCCTTTTTCTTCCCCTTCATTTTTGGGTTGTTTAGTTTGACTCTTTATTTGTTTTTTAAAATGCTTTTTGTATTTTTATAAATGTAAACACTATTTTTAGGCTTTGTTTCGCCCTTGTTTCTGTTTTTTCTTTCTTTTTTCCCATCTGTCTTCTTCATCAATTTCCCAATTCTCGGGTAATCTTCCCTTTTCCTTCAGCCTTGCTTGTAATCTCTTTCTTTTCATTTATTTCTTTATTGTTCTTATTATCCGTTTTATATTTTTGTCCCCTTAGGATAAAATCACTCTATTAAGTGAATATTTATGCTATATAATTTTCTGATTTATCTTATATTTTGTTATATAACTATGAAATCTTGTACCTATGATTAAAGGTGGCAAATTATTAGTCATCTAGTTTGGTATTTTCTAGATTGTACTTGATGCTACTGTCATGACTGATTATACTACTTAGCCAAGGTGATATAGTTGTTGTAATCAATTGATCTTCCTTGTATGCCAATACTGAAATTGTCTGGGAGTCATAAACAATACTATAGTCCAGTACAAAAGAACTGGGTGCTAGATCATCATTGGGAATTTGTACCTTTACATGATATGTCTTGGTTATTTTTTTCCCCATTCCCCTGCCCTCCCTTTATCCCTCCACCCCTCCATATTTATAAAGACATTGTTTCTATTTTTTCCTTATCTCATGTTTATTCTTTTCCCTTATGTCCTTTCCCCTTTCCCTCCCACTTCTCCTTCCCCTTTGTACTTTTTCTTCCCATTTCATATTATCTATTGTACATTTTGATCCTTATTTATACTTTCAGTTTTTCACCACGGAGAAACTATTTGGTATTTACATATGTGTGTCCTATTTATTTCACTTAAGAGTATGGCCTCATTGTGCATCCAGTTAGCTATAAATTACATCAATTTTTTTATCCCTAATAAATTAAATGGGCAAGATCCTGGGATAGACTCAAAAGCCAAAAGCCGGCTATGCCTAAAGACATTTCTGAAAAATAGTCATGTCCTAAAGAGATCTTAATACTAGTAATAAAGCTACCATAATTTACAATAATAGTAATAAATTACGATAACAAATTTCAAAAATAGTAATAAACCTAGCATAAGCAATTTATAAGATTCAATGTAGAAACAAATCAACAACAACAAAGTAAGAAAACATGGAAGAAATATGCAACTTACAACAACCAAGTCAGGCAAGGTAAATCAAGGGGGTACTGAGGGGGAAGAAATTAAAAGCAACTGGCTGAATTTTATGAAATGGTAAAAGCAACAGTACTAATAAAATAGATGAATAATTTTGTTGACAAAACCAAAAACAGGTAATTAAGGAGATGATGACCATAGAAAAGGAAATGGTAAATGAATCTAGAGTAGATGCAGGTAAAAAAAAAATAGAGGGCCTTAGGAAAGATATGAAAACCATGAATGCCCAACATATAAAAAAAAAAAAACCAAAAAAGCCCAAAAAAAAAAAAAAAAAAAAAACCCTGGATTCCATAAAACAATGGAAACCAAGGGGATTAAAAATTCAACTGAAAGTACACACACCAAAGTCAACCAATGTAAAGATAGAATATCAAACCTAGAAGACAGGATTATGATTGATGACCATCAAATGAAAGAGCTCTTTTTAAAAATTAATTAATTTATTTATTTATGGTATCAGGGGTCTAATTTGGGTCCTTGTGCTTGCAAAGCAGGTGGT